TAAGCGATTATTTAAAGAATTTATAAAAAAGCGAAAAGATTATATAAAGCTTAAAAAGATTATAAAATCATTATTTGAATTTGAAATTAATAATTATCGAAAGTAAAAGTTGAAAAAAACTAAGTGTTGGATTCTTTTTAAGCGATTAAAGAATATATTCGTAATTTCGTAACGGTCGTTAAAGTACTTGCAATTGCAAAACACTCGGTTATAAAAGTATCCGAATTCTAATTGCTTTTTAAAATTTAAAAGAGTTAATTCCTTTTATATGATTAAAAAAAATCACGCGCATTAGCTAACTAATAAGTTTATTAATTAAATTAAAGGTCTTTTAATTAGTGTGATATGCTAAGCGAGGCATGTTAAGTGGCCCGTGAACTCCTTTAAATACTATTAGCTAGCTAAGGTCGATATAGATATACCGATATTAAGGTTTATATATAAAAAAGTTGTTCGTAATAGTCAACTTAAGTAAAAAGAGCTTAAAAGTGTTAAAAGATATAATTATAATTAAGCTTTAATAAAAAAGAAATAAAAAGAAATGAAAAGATAAAAAAAAAACCGCTAATTAAAACTTAACGCTTGCAAGAATGCTATTTAAAAAGAATTAAGCGTAAGCAAAACCTTTTTTAAAAATAAATTAACTTAATAAAATATATTTAAATTATAAAATGATATTATATAATATTCAAGTATATAAGACGTTGATATATAAGTTCAAATCAATAGTTTAATAGCAAATCCGTTAAAATCTAAATATGTCTTTTTAAGCTATTGATTCGTTTTCATTTTAAATTACTTTAATTACTTACGAAAATACCGATTCATTTTAAAGTTAAGAGTTCGAAAGCTTTATAACTAATTTCTTTAGCCTAGTATTATTAGCAACTATTAGATGTTTTAATTAATATTATATTTAAAACGTTAAAAAGATTGAGACTTTTAATACTTGATGGTTATAGACCTTATGGTATTCTTAATAATAAGAGGCTAATCAAAATCCTTTGCGAATCGATTAGAATGGAAAGAAAACTTTTTTTGTATAGACTAGATTCGTTTAAGCAGCTAAAAAATCAATAAGAGAGCTTGTAGTATGTTATAAAAAGTGCGACCGAGCTTTAAAGCATCCGAAGCTAAAGGCTTTTAGAACGAAAGCATTAGCCGATTATTAGAAAACGGATATTTGCAAACGCGTCGTAAATAAGCTAAAATAAAAGCTTCGGCAAACTCAATTAAGATTTAAATCTTTTTAACGCAATTTAATACGTTTGTTTTTATTTATAAATTCGGTTAATAAATCTAGTAAATTTGATTAGTAAATCTAATTAGTAAATCGGATTAGTAAATCTAATTAGTAAATCTGATTAGTAAATCTAATTAATAAATCGGATTAATAAATTTGATTAATAAATAATAAAACTAATATCTAATAGATACATTTATTATAAGGAACGCTTTCGCATCAAGACTTAAAATCAGCATTTCGAAAAGGTGTTTTAAATATTATATTATTTACGCGAAGCTCGTTTCGAATGATTAATAACCCGGATTAGAAATCTTTTTGCGAATTACAAAACTTATATTTTAAGCTCTTTAGTGCTTTAACTATTAAGCGAGACCTCGACGATAGGATTTTAGAAATTGATCGCTATTTATTAAATAATTTATTAGCTAATTAAAAATTCAGTATTTTATTAGATTATTAATCTAGCATTAAGCGCTATTCTTTTATGTGCATAATCGGAACTGCAATTATAAAAGATTAGCATATGATTTAGCTTATGCTTAGATTTATATACGTTGAGTTTAATTATATAAAAGAAGAATTAGTAAGAATTATTTACGAACGCTTTATTAAATTAAGCTTAATAAAAAAGATAATCGCGATTATAACGGATAACGCATCTTCGAATAATATAATAATAAAAGAGTTGCTTAAATGCGTCGAAAATGCATTTAAGAAAAAGCTTTTTATAAGCTAAAAGATTCTATACGTTCCGTATATAACTTACGTCTTGCAATTATTTTTTAAAGCGTTGCTCGGACCGCGATTATCGCTAACGAACGAAAGCTTAGAAAAGCATTAAGAAAAAGATTTTAATATAAACGAGCTAAAAGGAGCAAGAAGACGCGATAAACGAAGGATTGCATATATATTTGCGATTATAAGTTTTTTTTTTTTTTAAAAATATTTACTAATTATATTTACTAATTATTGATTAACGTACTTAAGTTCGGAAGTTTATTAAGTGTGTTACGGCTAGCTAATCTTGAAAATCGCGATTTAATAAAACGATAAAAGCTTTTATCGACGATTTAAAGCATTTTTTAACGAAAAGCTTAAAGCTTGTTTTAAATATTATTATAAGATAAGATTTTATATTTTATATGTTTTATCGATTTATAACTTTTAAAGATGTTATTTAAAAATATTATATAAAAATCGATAAGATAAATATTTTTAAATTATTTGATATTTAATAAAAGCAAATCTTATAGCTAATCGATATCTTTCGATCATTTTACTTTTTAATTATGCACTTAAGTGAAAAGCTTAATCTTATTATTTAATACGGATTTTTAATATTCGATAAAATATTCGAACGTTTAAATAAAGCATAAGCACGATTAAAGTTTAAATATATAAAGATTTCGGAAGAAAATCGCAATGATTTTAAATAGATTTTGCAATTAGAAAAAAGCGTTATTAATATTATCGAAAAATTAGATAAGTATTATAAGAAAACGCAAGGGCCGTTAAAAGATATTTTTGCTTTCGCGATAATTTTATATCTTGCTATTAAGCTAAAGATTTTCGACTTAAATTTTTCTTAGCTTTACGAAAGTAAAGATTAGTTTGCAATATATCGAGCGAGATTCGAAAAGCTTTTTAACGAATATTATAAGTCTTTAATATTTATAGCTTAACGTATTAATAATATTAAAGCAATCGATCGTTAATCGATAGCCGTTTTATTACTCCGCGGCAGATTAATGCTAAGTTCTTTTTTACAAGCTTTTTTCGAAGATATAGATTACGAATCGTCGAAAGTGCATGATTATCTTTTAGCTCGTAAGTTTGAAATTTTAATTTAAAATTTTAATTTTATTGATTTTTATTAATTAAGTTTAACGGTCGACGGACGAGAGATTTTAACTTTTTGGCGAAACCTTGAGCTTCGATACCTTGATTTAGCTCGAATAGCTAAAGATTTTCTATGCATCTCTTTAATTAATATTTGCGTAAAAAAGGTATTTAATATTGCAAAAGATATTTGCGATTATCGTCGCGATAATTTATCGCTATTAATAATCGCAAAAGAAATAACTGCTTTATATTTCAAGATGTGTAATACTTGTGACAGCCTGCCTTGTTACCTGCAGTCAGCTGATCACCCGTCCAGGCCTAGCGCCTGCAGCCATGTATATAGACCTTCCTGAGCTCCCCGAGCTTCCTGTTTCCTCTCCTCACTTTGTATTCTAAGGTCAGAATTCATCAGTTCGTCACAATACTCGCTTAAATAAAGCTCGGCACTTATTCGAATCGATTTTAGTAAATTATAATGATTTAAATAAGGATCAGCTTAAAAAAAAATTCGAATAAGAAGTATAAAAGTTTTAAAAATAGCAAAATCGTTAATTTTAAAGCTTATTTTGTTTTAAATATATCTTTGCTTGCGATAATCTTACGATCGATTAAGACTTTCGAATAATAAGTTTTAAGCAACGAAAAGCTAAGTTGATAATATTAAAAGCTAAAATGCGAGAATCACGTAAGTTTAAATAATATTAATTTTATAAATATTTATTAATTATATTAAATAAAAGAGAATTTAAATGGGTTTTAAGATATTAATAAAGATGTTTCGTTTAAAATGCGATAGCCACGGTACGGAAAGTCTTTAAATTACGAAAGGCATTTAAAAAGTAAATTAATTTACTTGCGATATTTTTACTTTTTATCGATTTACTAATCGATTTACTAATCGATTTACTAATTATTATATAAGATTATATAAAGCGCATTCTTTCGCTTTTTAAAGCAAAGTCGTAGCAAATCGATTATATTCTTTATAAAGAAAACCAAGCAAAGTAAATCAATCGAAAGTAGCTACGGATTTACCTTTCGATAAATAAACTTAAGATAATATAAATTGGAACGTTTTTAATGATATAGAAAACGAAAACGATTCAGAAAATTCAAATTCGAACGGTACGAACGAATCGATTAGCTTTAAACGCTATATAAACCATAAAAATAAAGTGCAACGAAGTACGATATTATATAATATACGCTTTTATTTAAATATAAATTCTAATTTAAATATTAGCGATAGCAAATTTATGCGATCAAAACGATTCGAATAATATTTTTTAATAAAATTATTTTAACGCGAAAGAAATATCAAGCCTTGAGCAAAGTGATAAAGGGATAATAGATAGAAAGGAAGCTGATAGAATACCGGACTCGGCTTCGCTATCTTATAAAACCTTAAATGCCGTTCAAACTTTAAAACTTAATATTTCGAAACTTAAAACTCTTTTAATCGTTATTTAAAGTTAAAGTAAGTTAATTATTATATATAAATTTAACGACTTTAAATCTAATACTTTTATAAGCGAACGAATTATAAATCTATTATTAATTTTAAAGCGCAAACGAATAAAAGAAAAAGAAGATAATAAAGCGGGATTAGTATAAAATAAAAAGAAAGAAGCTTCTTTTAGAATCAAGCGTTTAATTGCAAAGAGTATCGCTTTTATTAAGTTTTATAATTAGCGACTTTGATTTTATTTATTAAATTGCTTTTTTTTGTATTATTAAGTTTTTGTATTTATTTGTTTATAATTGATTGCAATGATTAATTAAATTCTTTTTTATCGATATCTTTAATTTTTTTATTATTATTAATATATTTATATCGACCTTAGCTAGCTAGCTAAGAATACCGGTAGTAGTAGTTAAAAAAAAAGTTTACCCGTAAACCATGGTTCATAAGTCAATTACGTGTAATAGCTTTACGTACGCTACGTATAGCAGCCTTACGTAGGTTACGTATAGCAGCCTTAAGTACGTTAAATATAGCAGCCTTACGTAAGTTACGTGTAGCAGCCTTAAGTACGTTAAGTATAGCAGCTTTACGTAAGTTACGTATAGCAGCTTTACGTAAGTTACGTGTAGCAGCTTTAAGTACGTTAAGTGTAGCAGCTTTAAGTACGTTAAGTGTAGCAGCCTTACGTAAGTTACGTATAGCAGCCTTACGTAGTTTACGTATAGCAGCTTTAGATACGTTAA